TATCTTGTAATACCACATCAACCTAATTCATAATTTATACTGAAATAGAAATCGCTGGTGACCATTCGTTCTTAGACAGTTAAATTTGATAATTAGGTGGGGGGGGGAAGCAATATGTCAAATACGAACAATTAACTTAAAATGTTTGGGTCTCTGAAAATTTTCACATGTTCTGATTACAGATATATAAGGGCAAACTTTTTTTTTTTTTTTTTTTTTTTTTTTTTTTTTTTTTTTTGAAAGAAAATCGTCTTCGAAAAAGCGAAGTAGGGCTATCCATATCCGCCGGTGGAGTCTCGCTATGTTCTCCAAATGGTCGTCCAAATGGTCATCTGTAAGCTAATGTTGTATTGATTTAAAAATAGCTTTGTTACCAATTTTGTCAATAAAAAGGTGGAGAAATGGTGCTCGGGGAACCCCATGGGGTGCGGGGAGTGCTGGAACATACCGTTTCTGACACCCTGATAAGTTCATCTCTGAACTCCAATCCCCGACTGGGAGTCTCGCTATGTTCTCCAATTGGCCAAATGGTCATCTGTAAGCTAATGTTGTATTGATTTAAAAATAGCTTTGCTACTAATTTTGTCAATAACAAGGCGGAGAAATGGTGCTCGGGGAACCCCATGGGGTGGGGGGAGTGCTGGAACGTACCGTTTCTGACACCCTGATAAGTTCATCTCTGAACTCCAACCCCCAACTGGGAATGGTGTGGGTTTCATCGAAGATAAAGACCACGGGAAATCCTGCCGTTTGAGCGTATGCGCGAAGTTGCCCAGAGCGATTCAATGGAGCGCAACCCATTTCGGCAAATTTACCCCAATTCGGCAAAAAAAAAGGAGACGGTTCAGCACACAAAATTAAGTAAAGCGTGGGGGAAAATGACCCGATTCGGCACAGAATAATCTGCATATTGCTGTTATGAAGTTGAACAAGAAATGCCCCGTTTGGCACAGAGTGTAGGTATAGGAGACTTTACTCACCATTATACAGGGACGAAGCGGTGTCCCATGCTTCGAAGGTACGCGTCCCTGGTGATAAGGTGATTTTGGTACCGGTCGAATTGTGAGATGATGTACTGCTCCTTCTCCTTCCATTCCTTTCGTCTAATTGGTAGCAGCTGGCAGTCAGCTGGAACTAAAACTTTTTTTGAGGGCTTCCAATCCTCAATTGCAAGAGGTTCCAAAGAAGAGCCAACTTTAGAAAGAGTGGATTTAAGCTGATTACTTACAAGAACATCAGTTTAAGATGAAGCAATCCAGCAAAATTCGTCCATTGCAAACTGATGTGATGCTTGGTTCCAAATTGAAGGAAAGAACTCACAATCAGTTCACAGTTTATTTTCATTATAATTTTTGGATTGTTCTGAATAGACAAGAAACTTACTGTGCAGTTTTTACGTTCCGGATCTCCGGTGATAGGAAGCATCCTTGGCAAAAATACTGGGCAACCATGAATGCGTCCACGACTGGCAAATTTTGAGCAGTTGCCTTTTCAAACCCCCCTTCGGCATCAACTAGTTTTTTCCCCATTTAAACAAAGCAATATAACAAAAGGAACAAAAAAGCCCAGAACAAAAACCAGCACGAACTGATCACTGAAAAAATCCTGCGGTTAAGAGAATAAAGACACTTCTCCCGTTTCGTAGATGACGATCAACATTTGTTAGCGCGTGAATATTCATAGGATTACTCCTCCCGTCTATGAAGTTTATTCGATTGATCAACTTTCGCGTTTGATCATGCAGTAGCGCAATCAACGGCACTACTAATACGATCAACGTTGTCTGGGGGGCATCCATAATTGGAACAAGAAATATGACGGTCCTCCCAGCACCAGTAGGAATCCTGACGCAAACGTTGCGCCCCTCTTCTATGTTGAATTGAACGGAGTTGCACATCCGTCAGCTCTTCGATCCCGGCATTGAAATGCCGTGCTCGTTCCAACCTGCACAGAATATGAACGTATCATAGTGTAGTTCCTACCACCGAATGTAATATGCAATAAATCACAACTCTCACATTTCAAGTTCTGTGATGTACAGTAAATAGAAATGAATAAACAATAATTCTATTCGGCTAAAACTATTCCTTTTCATGAGAACAAAATGGAAATGACACTTCTTTCACCAGAAGACAGGTAAAAATCCATATCACGGAAGGCAAAATGTGTAAATAAGGAGAGAAACCTCGTTGGCCGGAAGAAGGGCGTATATTCGGTGTACTTTACGAGTCGATTATTCACGTAACCAATCGACAGATTTTTCTCAAACTTGGAGGATACTCTCACTATTCGACGTAGAATCAGAAAAGCCGAATGTTGGAAAAAGGGAGAATCTCGAGGTACGCCCTTCTTCCGGGTCGATCCTCAATTGTAATCTGTTCAATATTAAAGCCAGCAGTTACTAATGTCCCCATCCTTTTTTCTCAGAACTCTTCGTCAATAACCTCTAACATAGCTGCAGCAACTGCTAGTGAGACAAAGTAAGGCAGTGTCTCTACATTTTAGAAGATATTATTAATTCTTCCTAAAACTCCTGGCGGTTGAACGAGCTATTTTACCGGCAAATAGATTCACATGCGTTAGTGGTGCACTTGTCCTCGAAAAGGCCGTTGCTTGCCCAAAGTTAGGGAGGATAAAGGGGAGTTACGGTCGTATCAACTTTTAACATTCAGATGTCCTTTGAATTCGAAAATTTAAAAAATGAGAAACACCCTACATTCCACCCGTATCCTTTAATTAAATTTAATCAAATTTTCGGTAATTGCAGCGCACTGTCTGTCCAGATCCTCAACTTCACATGGATAAGCTCTATAAATTTCAGATCAACTCGACAAATTTTCCCTAATCGTCAACGTGCGAGCATCAACAATCAAGCGACATGTGCAACCGACGCATGTACTCATTACTGTTCTACATCGAGTCCAGATAACGTGCAACGATACGGCCTCGCCGTACCGCGTACCTGCATTCCGATTGTTTCTATCGACCCCCGCCCCCCTCCTCTTTACGGGGTGGTCCCACCTCCGAACTGCGAGTCACAAGTCATCGACCCAGAGCGAACCGAAACAGACGCGAAAGTCGAAGACACGTAAATTGAGAGCATAAATTCGATTGCCGGTGGGGAGCGGAGCGGGGATGAAAAACCGGAGTGAGGCGCCGGGGAACGAAACGAAAAACGGAGCGATTGATTACAGCGCTCCGCCGCCGGGGGTTGGGGTGGGGGGCTTTTGGTCTGGAGTGCATCATGTAAATGGTCTGTCAGAGTATCTGTTTCCGCGGGCCGAAGAGGGGGGAGCAACCCCTTTTCGCCCGAACCCCCAAAGTATCTTGGATCTAAGACGTGCGTGCACGAGTGGGCGGATGCTGGACTCATCTTCGCGTTCTCGTTGTAATTTACCCTCATTGATGTGAGATAACTATAAAGTTGTTGAATATTTTATATAATATATTCAATTCGTTATTTATATCATCATGGTGGTCAAACATACTCAGACCAAACTCAAAATGCGGAAGTACTCAATGAATACTGTGTCTCCTGAATGGGTTGTCCAGCGAAATTCTCTCATCGGATAATGCCAAAGGAATTAAATACCATACGTGGTTAGATACCGTAGAAAGCAATACATTAGCAACTAGTGACTTAAGGAAGGATGGGGGGGGGGGCAAAGTTTGTGTGCGTTAGGTGCCATATCCGATCCTTTTCCAAGCTAGTTGGAGGCTAGCTGCATTCTCTCTTCGCTCTCTGCACCTGCTCAGCGGAGATAATTGTACTCAAAGCCTTGCATCATCAATATTGCTAGATTAATATTACTTCTTTAGTTAAAATTAATTTACTACATCTGAAGATATTAATGGTGTTAGCTGCTGAATTTGCCAAGTATCAACTCAATTTTCAACATTCATTGCAACCATACGTACACTCAAAAAAAGGTATGGGTCGGGGACCCATAAAAAATGGCTCAGGGATCCATACTTTCTAAGAAGTGTGACTCACCGGCTAGGTATGGCTTCACGAACCATACTGTAANACGTACAACTCTCTTTACGACACTGAGAATCATACCAACTGTAGGTACAAGTGTCTTAGCAGACCTGAACTCGAAACAGGGATGAGAGACGCTTTCGGCGACATAAAAATTTAAAAATCTGCGCTTTTCACCTCTTGAACGCCCGAAATTTGAGATAATTTGTATATGACTAGCACCGCACGGCCGCACACGGTATTTACAAACACATGTATAACCTTAAAAACGGAACTACGATGAGTGATGCACACCAGAACTTTAAACAACGACCGGGAAATTAATATTAGGCGCGAAAATTCATTTCTCTGGGAAATTTACTCAATTTTCAGAATTAATTACGAGACGCGACGCGAGGTCAGCTTTTCATGGGCCGCCATCTTTGCAAAAACTAAACTAACGGAATTATTTCCATTCCGTATGGGTAACGATGCCATCAGCCTGGACATTTCACGTATACCGGTATGGGTATTCTTGCCATTCTGGAATGGTTTCTCAGTTTGCCATTTGGAATGGGTCTCAACGCCATACCGTTTTTTTTGAGTGTAGTTACTTTTTGAGAATGAAACTTCCGAGTTTAGATTTTTCACCTTCGATCCTATATGCAAGTTTGTTTCATTCTCATTATGCAATGTTTCAACGAGAAATGTATGCATAACCAACAATGTGCGTTGAATGACTGTTGATGTTTTACATCTAAATGTATCTCCGTTTCATGAAATTTTACCGTCGCATCGGTTTATCACAACACAGCCTAAAAGAGGAATCGTTCGAACAACGCCGCCGAATCAAATTTCAAGACGCTTCTGCCAGGAGGCGTTTCTCAACACGATGCGTTTCCAGAGAGAAGTTCCATCATTCGCCTCGGAAGATCCCGCGCAAAAGTTTCGGCGCTCCGAAACGCTCTCCACGGTTCTGCGAAGAAACGGGCTGCAAATAATTTTGATTTTATTAGAAAATAACCTTATTTTGTTCCAGGGGAAATGATTATGCCGACAACGAAATACCAGCCGACTGAAATATCGAATAACCCGCACTACGGGGTTTCAATGAAATTAGACGTCAGGAGACTGAACAAGAACGATCTGGGCGGCTATAAGTGCATCTCGAAAAATTCCTTCGGAGGAGCCGAGGGCAGTATCCGGCTTTACGGTAAATCTTCTTTCGATATTTTCGCCATCTCTTAAGCGTCGGCCTCGCCACCAGTACGCTATCATCTTTATTTTGTTTACGAAACTGTCTACAGGGCAGTTCAACAGCCTGTTATTATACATTGAAAAAAATATATCGGTGTATTTACTAAGAAAAGGGTAAAATTACCAAGAATTCAGGGTTCTATTTGATCCCAGTTTTTTCTTGGTAAAATAACCATTTAATGAATTGGTATTTTTACCGAGAAATCTCGGTAAAATTATTGATTTTTCTCGGAAATTTTACTGGACTTTGGTAAAAACGCCTATATCTCTTATCGACTGTGGTAGAATTACCGAGATAAAATGGCAAAGTTACCGGGAATTGATAACCAATAAAAGTGATATTCTTACCTGAAAAAAACAGTAAAAATACCGGGTTTTCGGTTAGCTTACCAGTCAGTCTTGGTAAAATTACCAATAATTGGTAAAAAAGTGAGATGGTAAAAGTACCAACGGACCGTGGTAAAAACGTCGAGAATTTTTTTTCAGTGATTCTCTCTCGTCGTCCCATTTGTGCTCGTAAAGAGTGAAAATGACAAAAGAAAGATGAGATGTCATCTAAATTTCGTCTCCTTTTGGGGGAAGGACTATTTTAGAATCATATCGAAAAAAATCTACACGCCATTTTGCTTACGTATCCCGCTATTCCAAATATAATGGAACAGAACACCCTGCAGTAGGGCACCCCTTCGCCGAAAGCGTGTTTAACATTAAACGTGCGCTGAAGGTAGTTCCTCAGCACATCTTCATCAATTTATCTCCAATTATGTGGCATTGAGTCTAACTTTTACACTTGAAATTCCGCAGATATAAATACTAGTAGTGCATTTTCCGTTCGTTTTCGGAGTTGGAAAAATTGAGATTGTTAGTTTCCAAATAGAGTTTGTCCAATTCCATTACACGAACAATGGTTACTAAATCAGCCGTTGATGCATTGACTTCGGGAAAATTTTGTACACAGCTTGCTTCTAAGTCCTTCAGGACTCGTAATTAAAATAATGATAACAATCACTATCACAGCCAAGTTTCCAAAATTGGCGTAAAACGAAAATAAACGATAAAAGTGTGTAGGATCTTAGAGATTGCCCAACTTGGTTGCCGGAAACTTCGCAAGGAAAGGCCCGGAATTTGTTTTTACAACTTCACGCCGCACTCCCGACATTGAAGAACCGGGACAAACATGAAGCAACTTTTGTCCTGGCCATGGCATCCTCGTACCTAGACCTTCCAAAAATGTTGGCTGCCCTTTTTAAGATAGTTTTTTATACTATAAAAATAATAATTGAAATATTTTTGAAAGAAAAAGAAAAGTGAATATAATATTATAAGGCGAAAAAGTCCCAGAACATGATCTAAAAATTCAAGAACTCCAACACTTCATACAAGGACCCTCCATCTAGGAAGCGATCACTCTACCGCTGTAAGCCATGCCGATTCCCATGCTCGGTCGGGGGATAGGTCAATACATGAGGCAATGAAAGTTCTTTATTTCACTACTCGAGCTGAGAGTAGAGACGCATCGGTGACATTCTCCTGCTCACTGATGGTTTGCTGCAGGATTTTTCAACAACCCTAGCCTCCCGGGCGAAGAAGGAATCTCAGCTAAACTCAAACGCCGTTAATATCTAATTAATGACAATTAATAAACTACCAAACAAACAATAAACTGTTGAGGGTGGAGCCGGTGGGTTGCGATCTGCTTGCTCCTTGGATATTTTTCTAAGGGTTTCAGATTTCTTATTCGACACCATGTATTTCTCTGATGGTTGTCTCACTACTACTGTGACGGCGATTTGGCGACATCGCTGATTCACTCGTAAGTCACATCAAGAGCCGAGTCGCACGAGTAGGCACTGCAGGACATTAGTTACGACCAAAGAAATCGCACAGAATGCAAATTAGATGGAGGTGCGAGAACCCGAGATCAGGCCCCGGAATCACGAGCGAAACTCGGGAGTTGTCAAAGCTAATAAATCCGAGACACCCGCAAATCAAGAATCGCCCAACTCCAACGTAGAGACCACGCGTACATGCGCGGTTTCCACTAAGCGCAGCCGGGGGCAAAGGCCGCCGATCGACTCAAGCGTTAAATTCTCGCGGCCGGCGAGAACCACATATTACGGAGAAAAAATGAGGAAGTAAAGTGCCGGGCGGGCGAAAGAACAACTCCAGCGTTTTTTACGAGCCGACGAAGGAGGGGGTGGGAAAGGGGGCGGGGGTCGCGAACCGCTCGAATTAAAAAAGACGATAAAGCACCCCCGCGTCGGGGAGCACGCAGAACTATGCAGAGAAACAATGTATGGGGAAATTCGGCGGGACCCTCGGGCGGGGGTTAGGGGAACGACAGATGTCTTCCAATATCCACCAATATCAGCATTCTGAGCTTGTCGCCCCGACAGCCAAGGGAGAGGCTATTGAATTTAAAGACTGAACCCTTTAGCCTGCGATGCTGTGCTACGGAGAAACGCCTTATGTATTTTCGGGTGTTGTCGAATTTTTCCTCCTCCTGTTCGTTCACTTCTTTCTCTTGTGCCAACTTTCTGAGGTTTTGGCTTTATACGATCCTTTAGCTAATTATTCACGTTTACATTCTTGACACATCCAGATCTGTTTAGTATCTACCTCTTCAATACAATTTATAGGATGGAAAACAACTTTATCAGCCAAAATACACCTATTAAAATAACAACTTAATTTGGAGAAAAGGCGGCCCAAAAAAAAAAAAAAAGAAAAGAAAAGAAAAATAAACCAGCAACAAAGGATTAACAAAAAACCCGTAACATTTCAGAATATTAACACTTCCATTTTCAACTGGAAAAGAAGAAGTGTTAATATTCTGATACGTTATTCTGATACGTTCCGGGATTTTTGTTTATCCTTTGCCGTTTTTTTTTTTTTTGAAGCCTTTTCCCCAAATTAAGTTGTTATTTTACAATTGGTAGGGTTGGCTTAACTTTTTCTCTAACCAGCTTCCATAGATAAGTCTTCCGATCTTAGTGGCGACCGGGTTGGCCTAAAAGTGTTGATAAATCTGAGGTGATGAAGAGAAGTATAAGGAATTTTTCCTACCGATGGTTCCTTAAGTTTTAAGAAGTGCCTTTTTTATATTTGCTGTTTAATTAATTACTTAAAGCAATATAGAAAACGGAGTATAAGTTTTGCGTCAGCAGACTGATAATTGAAGTGTATGAAAAAATTGATGGACGTAGGAATAATAGAGAGATCCCATCGGTGGGAAGAGGAGATAAGTATACACTGAGGAGATAATGATAAACTAACCAAAGAGTCTCTCGTGGTGTGCCGTTAATTGAATCTGTTACTTACCTCCGTTAATTGTTGAAACCACCTGCTTTCACTAACAAGATCGCTCCATTTTCTTTGGCTTCCTTGCTTATCGCTGTGTCTGTTAATTTCAATAATCAGACCGCAGGATCCAGAAACATCAGGATTCTTTAGTTCATCATGAATGGCAAGATAGCAATCCTTTGGAGGCCATGGAAACCATCTGTAGAGGGGTGTAAAAGCTCCACGATTATTCGATAATAGGAGCCTTGCAGCCTGATTGTTAAAACTTTGTGTTTGTCGGGTAGACATAAATGACATACGTTAAAAAGAGGAGCGTGATTGGTTGGCTATGCCTTATCGGTGCGTTATAGGCCTTTGTCAGGTGGAGTGGACGACACACTGTCGGAAACTTAAGAGGTGCCTTTAACTTAGTTCCACCCGACGTAAGCACGACAAAGCAGTGATAAGACATAGCTGATCAATCACGCCTCGCCTTTTAATCTATGTGATCTGTGCTACCCGACAAACTTAAAATTTCAATAATCAGGCTGCAGGCTCGCGGTTCACACCTGTTGAAAATTGTTTACACAGCCGTGGGTTCGCCACCGAGAAATCAGGAATTTTCAATGATCAGAGTGCGCACCGTGGTGTACGCGCAATGTGTGAAGTATTCCGGCACTCTCGTAAGCGCCAAGAAGTGTTCAGCACAGACTGCCAACAAGCCTTTAGCACCGACGGCCGTTCTGAACAATGTGTGAAGTATTCCTCCAGACTTGAAGGCGCTAATAAAGCGTCTCGCACCGGCCGCACCGCCGTACTGTAGCTCTTTGGCACCATCGTTCAAAGTTGGCATTTTTCTACATCTCCGTTATTTTGAAGTTGTTTCACACGTTGTAAATTACACCAAATGTGTAAACAGCGCGTACGCTGGAATGGTGTGCAAACGGAACGAAGTGTGAGTACATCCGGACCATCTTCACAGTCTCTCATGGGTTCCTGTCAGTCAAGACTATTGCCCACCTCCTTTTTTCATGGCAACCACCCGCCTCCACCAATAGAATAGCTCCATGTTCCGTTCGTAGAACGCTCTCGTAATAGATTTCAGTGACCAGCCCGCCTAAGAAACTTGGCAACGTCTGAAGGATCTTACGCCGTTATCCCCTCGCCGCGGCAGTGTGAATGTGAAGCTTTGACTTCACAGTTATTAACATTATAGCAGTTCCCTTTTTTCGCCCCCCCCCCCTCTCCCCCCGGCCACTTCCGCGCTGACTGGTGGAGCGTCGAAGGCGGGCGGGGGTAGTTTGACCCCCGTTTTCTCCCCGCGCGCCAATACATCACTTTAACGAACACACATCGAAAATCATCCATATTAAATGCTCCTTTCTCTCTCCGAGTTCTCTGCTCCTGGCACATCTAATTTTTAATTCCCTTTCAATTACGTCCTCGGTTTGCATCCAACACTCGAGCGATTTCCTCAAATTTGCCCCCGCGGCAAGTATATTTATTTACTCTTTTTTTTATCCCTTTGTTTATTTTCGTTCGTCGGGATCGGAGTCGGGCACACCCCCTCGTCGGTGTAATTTATTCCGCTCCGGTGCTTGACGCCGGGATTTCAGGGATTGTCAAGCACGCTCCTTGCATAAAAAGGGACCCGAGCGGAGCGGAGATGCAGTCGGCCTCGGCTGAGAGTAGTGCCGCCAGCCCCGGCTCGGTCTCATGTCCCCAAGACGGGAGGATACAATCCTGTTGGTACTTACACAGGATGACAAGTTCTTGAACGGTTAGGGGAAACCGCGCGAAGTCAGGGTTTCGCTCTGAGATCTTAACAATTTAGCTTTCGGAAAAAGAATAAGGAAGTTTTTTTTGCTCATTTTTAGTAACTCAGTGCTTAAAAGTTTTCGTGTAAATATCGCCTAAAACACTGGAAAGGAGATTCTTATGTTCAGAAACCCTAAAATTCAATAAATAATTTATTGATAAACGGTTAAGGGCAACCTCGGCAAGTCAGGGGTTTGCTCTACGACCCTGAAAACTTTGCTTTCGGAAAATACAGACGGAATTTTTTTCGTCCATTTCTAGTAATTCAATGCTTAAAAGTCCTCGTGTGAATGCCGCCTAAATCACTGGTAGTGAGATTTTTATGTTAAAACCCTTGAAATTTAATAAATAACAGATTGATAATAATCTTTATTTGACAAATGCAAAGATGGCTTGTGAAAATGCAGGGTATCCGGCGCACACTGTGGTATTTGACCGAAAAACCTGGCCAAAACCTCAATTTTAAATTTTTTTTTAGTGGAAAACCAATGTGATATTCGAAATCTACACTGTTTTTTACCGTGGGAGACATATATGTACCATTTTTCGAGTGGTTCAATTTCCCGCGAAGAGACCACGAAGTTACCTATTTCTCAGCGATTATTTTGATATGTTTCGGGGCGCTACTCGTCGATCAGTTTACTTTATTTCGGCGATATGCAACACATTCTTAGGGGTATATTCTACACAACTAACCACAGTAGTTTCGAAATTTCTTTTTTTAGTTATTTTCACAGGAGGTTGAAAAGTGATGTAAAAGTAAACGTTTTTTTCGAAATTCAGAGGCCGATATTTTTTTTCTCTCAACTGTTCTCAAGCAGTTTGAGGCGGGATGTTATAGTCCGAAGTGGGTATTTTCAGGATTCAGGGGTGACAGACTGAGGAAAACTGAGGAAATTGAAATTTTTGACTTTAAAGATGGACTTTTGAGCGATTTTCACAAACATGAATGGGAAAAATGATGTCGATACTAACGACTGAAATGAAAACAGCTCTGACCCATTTAGTACCAATTGGGTGACATTCGGTCTCGCAACCTGTTTCTTTGGCCCCTACGTCCTCGAAAGAGGGATAAAAAAAATAATTTGAAAGCGGATGGGAGGGTCACTTGCAAAAGTGTTTAATCCGTTATCTAACAATCTCTTCTTGCATTATCCTTGAGTATAGACGTATTTATGCCATGATTTACTTTGACAGACAAATTTGAATCCATGCGGCCCCGGGGATGGGGCTTTAAAAGTGGCCCTCTGGCACCATGAACATATGCTGTGAGGCACATATTTGAAGCCTCGTAAAAGTGAGATATGTGGTTTTCTTATGAATTTCGTAGTGAATTGCCTCACTTTGAGATGTGGACCATGGGTTAGGAAGGAACCCATCAAAATGAATCATTTTTACAGGTACTTTCTGTCCTTACAATGGTTCTTATTATGATAGAACTCATTTTCATCTTATAATTTATCCTCAAATCATCATATGGAGGTCCCGGCACTCTCATACTAGCACTAACTTTGATTCAAAACTGTCAAAAATCTAATATCTAGAATGATTCATGTTAATTTTTTTGAGAAATGTACAATTATTCCTCAATGTGAGAGATCGGCTGTTTCGTCAAAAATTTTGAAGTGACTTACGCTGTTGTAAAGAAAACCATTAATGAGGTAATAGAGAGTCCTTATTGGCGAGTATGTAGATGTCACTGAAGAAACCTGCAATTCGAATGCTATTGCAAGCTAATCTTCCCATTTTTCCAAGTACTGATGATCGCGTATTTAGGTTCGAAAAGTAGACCATAGGTGAAGGAGAAACTCGTCTAAATGCACCGCTTTAGTTAGATACTTTGCGTCCTTTTAAAGGCTTTTTGGAGGGCTTCTTGCACCCTCTTTAAACTCTCCGCAAATTGTCATATGATGTGTTAGGTGGTTAAATTGTGCATATTATCACGTAAGAAGAAGTACTGATTGTAAAATATTTTTAAAACTCGGCGATATCTGGTGATACATAGTTTTGGCCAGCTTTTTAGGTCCAATACCACAGTGTGCGGCGGTTTGAAAACCGAGAAAATCATGAAAAATCGCGGTGACTGGGATAAGTTAGGGAATTTCTGATATATCTCTCTTTCAAATTCTAGCGATAGGGAGCGTATTTTTATTTGAGGGGCTCGGAGGGCAAGGCTCATAAGTGCAGTTTTTGAAAAAAATTGAGATATTAGTGACTTCAAGTAAAACTAGTCTGAACGCAAATTCCGTGTAAAATTCATTCCAAAGTTCAAATATGTATTTAAACAATAAAAAGTCAGTCGGAACTTTCTTTCCGCCCTTAGGATTCTTGTAAATTCGAAACTTCGAACACATTTTTCTTGAAATAGCAAAAACTGCACTTATGCGCCTTGTACCCCAAGCCCTTCATTTTCCATAAAATGTGTAGATGGAAATTTTGTTTAAAGGTCAGGGTAAGTTAGGGAATATGACAATTTCGGAGTCAGGTGAGCCGATACATATCTCTCAAAAAACTAGATGGTGGGAAGCGTGAATAGAGTTGAGATAGAGGCAAAGGGCCAAAAGAAAATATACTACAAAATAAATTTAGGTATTGCAGGCAATATAAGATCAACGACAAAATTGAATATAGACAAACTTTATTGGGAAGGCTGGGTGGCCTTGAAAGCTATCACAGATATTTCGAGCACTTGATATATTATCACAGATATTTTCGGATATGGGGCTGAATTAGATTCCACTCCGAGTGAGTTGGGTCTGAACAAATTGGCTGTGGTCCGATAGGACTCAAAGATGGCAAAAGGACACTACGATTGACTACAAACTTCTTAAAGTTGGAACAAAAAGCTAGATAAACTCAGCTGGCGGTCAGACTAAATGATGAGAATCCAACGAGAAGAAGAAGCTTGAGTCTAACAAGTGCAAACTTCCAGTGAAGCAGGTCCAGAGGTTCAGTTCAGAAAAACAATCAGCAATCTAAATCAGCACGGGATCCGCATGATCCTAGATCCTATAGAAAAACCCTGTTGAAATATCGAATTGGTTTAGTGCAAAGTGAAGAATATTGGGGGGGATCAGGAACCTTACAGGAACCGCAGGAGAAGTAATACTCACTTTTGGGGTGGGAATAAACTTTTATCAGAAGAAAAAACTAAAGAGAAACAACAATCCAAGACTTTCACTTCTTCGACAACTTTTTAGGTTAACATTATAAACTTTTTTTTTACAAAAGAAACTCCTCCCTTTCCGAAGCTCCATCAGCTGATGCCGATCGGGGCTTGGACATCCAGCCCGCCCTGAACCCCTTTAGGGGTTCAGACCGAGACAGACGTCCACCCCCTAAAGGCATCATCCTGAAGAGCCCAGAAAGGAGGGTATTAGCACCGAACCAGGGGAGGGACCTAATTAAATATCGAGGATGGCCCCTCCGCCTGGGTTCAGGCGGGCCACAGCCCAAAGGTGTCTTGGTAGGGTTAACTTAATAGCCTCTATCCTTTCTGCTAGCGCCTCAACTGACAACGATTCCAAACCCATCTGTTCTTGCCTTGCCTCATGTCTCTCTTCTTCTCTCCTCTGTGGCCTTGCCCTCTCCAGAACACGCCAATCTTCTCGTCTTTCCGCTTCTTCTTCCTCCTCACTGTCCTCATTCAATACATTCCTATCCGTCGGTGGTGGCCGTAGTGCTTTATGCAACTCTTCCATGGCCCGATCCTTAACGTTTTTCGCCAGGGAAACTCTGCAGATTGGGCAACTTTGTAGTCGAACCCGGCATTGGTGACAAATTCGATGCCCGTTACTGCACAACTCGAATGGGGGCTCAGCGGTGAATAAACAAATGGGACACTTCATAACCGCTCTCCATCGTTTCAAAATTCGCGTTCGATAGGATCGTGATCGCTGCATACTGAAACAGTACCCGAAGAGAACGAGGGTTAGATTAGGATAAACTTTTACTAAAAATTTTGGGGGGAAGGAGTGGAGGATGGGAGAAGGGGCTTTTGATTTTATTCCCTTTTTTCCCGCTCTATATTTTTTATAATGGCCATGTGATTTCTGTAGTACAGATCATCAAATGCCAGAGTAGCAGTTAACGCAAAATTTGAATGTCTGTCCAGACCTCGGTACTTAGCATTAGGATCGTCTTCTTTTTTGCCGAAGGGAGTTGAAGCCTCAGTCTTATCAGGACCAGATTTGGGAAGTTCATTTTCGGAGGGGTTGGGGACGGGGGATTGATGTCTTGACGGGGCAGGTAGAGGGAAGCCATCCTTTAAAGGGGTCGGGAGGGAGCGTTCATCCTTTGAGGGGGTCGGGAGGGAGAGTTCATCCTTTGAGGGGGTCGGGAGGGGGAGTTCATCCTTTGAGGGGGTCGGGAGGGACAGGAAACCGTTCTTCTCCATTCTAGAAAGTCAATGTTAAGGGGACATTATTGGCAACGGGTACAATTTGATTACAGGCCTCCTGAGCATTCCCGTGGCAGTAATTACTTCAGCCACCCTTACATGCCCATCAGGATCTGGGAAAATTTTAGCAATTCGTCCTCTTTTCCATGTGAGCGGGGGTGCCTGCGCATCGTGAATCAAAACTAACGTTCCTTCCTTTATACTCTTGGTGACTTCTAACCACTTGGACCTCTCTTGCAACGTGTGGAGATATTCAAAATGCCATCTTTCCCAAAAAGCCTGTGCAAAGAACTCAACGTACGTCCACCGCTGCAAGAAAGGGGGGTTTTCAATATCGTACTTTTTCTCCGGAAGAGAACTTAAAGGTCTTCCTATCAAAAAATGTCCAGGGGTGAGAACCTGCAAATCCCTGTGATCGGAAGACAGCGGAGTTAATGGCCGCGAATTGAGAACTGCTTCAATTCGTGACGTAAGAGTCTGAAACTCCTCCTGGGTGAGAACTGTCAAACCACAAACCCTTTTAAAATGATATTTGAAACTCTTAACTGCTGCTTCATAAAGTCCCCCTAAATGAGGTCCCATTGGCACGTTAAAGTGGAATTCAACCTTATTGTTCACAGAAAAATGGACCAGCTCCGGCTCTGTTCCCGATATAAGTTTCAAAAATCTATTTGCAGCTCCTGTATGGTTACTGGCATTATCACAATAAATATAACTAGGTAACCCCCTTCTTGACACGAAACGCTGCAAAGCAGCAACAAAGGCATCAGTTGTTAAATTTGACACCATTTCCAAATGAACAGCCTTTACGCTCATACAAACAAATACACAAACATATACGGCAAACACTCGAGCGAATCTAGTTTGATGGATCTTCACTTGGAATGGGCCACAAAAATCAAGAGCTGTTTTAAAGAAAGGGGGGCTTTGTTGAACCCTGGTTGCGGGGAGATTTCCCATGAGAGGAGGGGAGACACTTGACGGCTTTACCCTGAAACAGGCGATACACTCATTCACAACCATCCGCGTCAGTCGCCTGGCAGCTAAAATCCAGAATTTCTGCCTTAGTAGCGATTGGAGTAATTGTGATGGTGCATGCAAATTTTTCCGGTGATAATGAACAACTAATAATTTTACTAACGGGTGACGCGACGGAAGAAGTAAGGGATAACGCACAGATTCTGGTACTGTTGCATGCGCTAGCCGGCCTCCAGCGCGCATCAAGCCATTTGGATCTAAAAATGGTGTCAACCGCTTTACCGCGTTAAATTTCGATGGTAAACGTTCGCCTTTTTCTATCAAAAGTCTCTCCCCCCTAAAACTATCCTTTTGAATTAAAAGGAGAGTTTTTGTTTCCGCTAACTGTAACTCCTCCGCAGTAAATTTTCCTGTTTTAATCTTTTCCAATTTTTTAATATTATCAACTAATAATATTTTTCGGACCAGAAATCTACGAACATAAGCCATAGCATTAATTGTTTTTGTCCACGTTGACAAATGAGGTATTTTTATTTCCTCATCTTTAATTTCCTGTTCTATTTGTTTCACAATTAAGGTGGGACTTATTACTTTTAATTCCGGTAATTTTTGGCTGGATGGTAACGTTGTAATAGACTCCGGCCATTTCTCTATTTTCTCTTTCAGCCATTGTGGTCCCTCCCAATAGAAATAATTCTGTAATATTTCCTTAGGTAAAAGACCTCTACTTGCTAAATCCGCCGGATTATCCTTACCTTCCACATGTTTCCAAATAACTTTTTCCTTTAATTCTTGTATCTGTACCACCCTGTTGGAAACAAACGTTTTTAACCGATAACTTGGAGTCTGAATCCATGTCAACGCAATTGTTGAATCAGACCATGAAAAAATTTGTTCAACACCAAAAAACTCCTTCAATTTAGGAACATACTTTTTTATCAACGTGGCCGACAACAATGCTGCACAAAGTTCTAATCTAGGTATTGATATCTTTTTTAAAGGCGCTACTTTTGATTTTCCAAAAACTAATTGAATCTTTGCCTTATGATTCTCTTCAGAAGGTAGAGGTGGTATCCTTACATACATCAAACTTGCTATGCCAGCCTCACTCGCATCACAGAAACAGCATACTTGCACCTTCCTCCCTTCAGTGTCAATAAGCCTTGGGATAGATATTTTACTCAAACAAGGGAGTTGGTCCACGAAATTTTCCCATTTAAAAATTACCTCCTTTGGCAAGGGATCATCCCAGTCCACACTTATCAACCATAATTCCTGCATAAATACTTTTACCTTAAAAATGACTGCTGTCAGCCAGCCACAAGGATCAAATATTGAAGCAATAAGAGAGAGTAAGCTCCGTTTTGTGGTTGGAGCTGGCATACTAATTATTTTGTAAGTGAAGGCGTCTTTTTCCGGAGACCACTGAATACCAAGAATTTTATGTTGTGGATCCTCAGGGTTCCCTTTTGGCATCTCAAGATCACCTATGGGAAAACCCTCCAAAACATATTGTGAATTAGAAGTCCACTTTCTCATAAAAAAACCTCCTTCTTCTAACAATAAGATTACCTCTTCAAGCAATTCCCGAGCTTTTCTCTCATCCCTCTCTCCATGTATCAAGTCATCCATATAAAGACTTGCGTAAAGAGCTTTTGCAGCTCTAGGGTATTTATGACCGTGGTCTTCTATTAATTTTTTTATTGTTCGAATCGCCAGAAAGGGGGAACAATTAACTCCGAAAGTTACTGTAGTCAAAGCATATGTTTGAAGAGGTAAATAAGGCTCAGATCGCCACAAAATTAATTGATACAAATGATCACATGGGGCTAACTCAATTTGTAAGTACATTTGCTTTATATCCCCCGAGAAAACAGTCCTATGTCTACGAAAATTTAACAAAATAGTCGGTATCTCTTCCAATAAAGAGGGACCAGGTAACAATAGGTCATTCAAAGATAACCCGTTTGAAGTCTTCATGCTAGCATTAAACACCGTTCTTAATTTTGTTGTACTTGAGGTTTCGTTTATCACTCCATGATGACTCATATAGAAATGTGGCACCTCTGTAGAAGGAGTAGGAACTGGCTTCATATAGCCATTTTCTAAATAATCGGACATAAATTTAACATACATTTCTTTTAATCTGGGATTCTTTTGTAATCTTGCCTCCAACTGATGAAACCGTTTCAAAGCAATTGAACGAGATTCACCAAGATGGGACGCTTGGGGGCGGAAGGGTAGGCGAACTTGATACTTTTTGTTCGGAAGCTGAATTGTAGTCTCCTGATAGAACTTTTCAGCAAATTCATCTTCCGGTTTCCGAGCCAACGGTGGATCGGCTTCTTCCATTTTCCAAAAATTTTCCACTTGACTTTGAATGTTACAACACACAAGCACTGTGGATGAAGTACATTCTGGAGGGCGCAATGGCTCTGAATGCATGGAAGGGAGAGGGTTAAAAGACTTCCCAATAACGACATATCCAAATATAGTCGGAATTAGGGCAGGAAGTGACGGACCGAGAGTTATCGGACCTCCTGTAACTATTACAGCATACAGGTCGATTCCTAATAGCAGGTCCGGTTTACCAGGTGCATCAAATGTTTCATCTGCTAAAGGATAATTTCGCAAAAGTTTTTTAAGTTTCGGATCCAGAGGAACAGAGGGCAATAATCCCGTTATATTTTTTACCACTGTCATAGGGTAATCCGGTGCCACGACCTTTCCTCCCGGCGTTGAAATAGTTATTTCAACAGATCCCTTGGTCTCAACCGGAGTTTCTGACAAACCAGAAACTGATGAGCCGTTAAGGTTTGGTTTCAACTTTAATTTTTGACAACATTCCGCTCTTAAAATTCCTTGATCCGCTCCACAGTCGAGAATAGCTCGAGCTAACAGCGTTCGGCCGTTTTTTGCCGTTAATAAAACCTGAATTGTTGGAAGGATCGCTGTACATTGTCTAGTTTCACTCACATGACAAGTGACATTTACATTATTTTGTTGTGAGGAGGAACTAAGAGTCGAAGTAGGGTCCATTTTTCCAAGAACTGATTTCTCCGATGCTGGGGTATGTTGGTACATCTGAGTAGGCAATGCGGTATTCTGAGCTACGTGCAATTTTGTATGATGACTTTTAGAACAAATACTACATTTTTTGCTCTTACAGTCTTTAACGCCGTGAGAGTTAGAAAGGCAATTGAAACAAAGTCTGTGCTGAACCACCAAATCCCTTCTAGCCTCAGCACTCATATTATTAAATTTTCTACATTGCGCCGTAGCATGGTTTGGATTTGGTTGGCACTGAACACATTTAAAGTACGGTGATAGCGAATTCCCCGGTTTTGAATTATTACCATTAATGTTTGTAGAAGGTTTGAATTTTTCTGTACGAGAAGATTCATCTAAATTTCCAACTTGAAGAGCTCTCACTGGTGGCCCAGTGACAGGTTTTTGACACTTTTGATTTGGCTTTTGCCTATTTTGTTCACTTTCTGAAAACTGAGAAATTTCCGTATGCAAATATTCACAAATTTCTTCCACAGTTGGCATTTTTGTTTTTTCGTCCCGAAAATCTTCAAACCTCCTTTTATGGTAATTGTTAAATTTTCTCAATAATACAACTACTAACAATGAGCAATAATTTTCTGGTTTCAATCCCAAAGCTTCCAAAGCTTGCATGTTTTCTTTTATTTTAGAATAAAAAAGAGATAAATTTGTAGCTGTTAATTCAGGCAAATCTAAAAGACTAATAAGATGGTGAGTCAACAACCTTCTTTCATTACGGTAATAATCAACTAATAATTTCCACGCCACTAAATAGTTGTCCGAAGTAAGTTCCAAATTTTTAATTAATCTAAGAGGTTCATCATCAAGCTGTGCCAGCAAATATTGGAATTTTTCATTGTTACTTAAAGCAGTTGAATTATGAATTGTGGCTTCAAATAAGCCCTGAAACACTGACCAATCTGATAGATTCTTTCCATTAAACCTCGGTAATTTAATTTTTGGCAACTTGAGATGAGCCCTAGATGCAGC